AGCCATGCACACTAGATGACTGAAGTTAGTTGTCATTTAAGATTTTAAGTGTGCAGTAACAACATAGAGTGAGTTAAAGGAATAGTTCACCCAAAAATGAAAATTTGCTTACAATTTATTTATGGGCCATCTAAGATATAGATGAGTTTGTTTCTTCATGGGAACAAATTTGGAGAAATTTAGCATTATCACTTGCTCACCAATGGATTCTCTGCAGTGAATGCAAGACGCTGTTTTTTTTTTTTTTACTTCAAACCATTGTTTTCAGTAAAAAATATGAGTCCATAATCCATCATAATGCTTCCTCCAGTGTTAAAAAGTGGTCTGGTCTGAATCAGGAGAGAAATATGCACAGATCAAGCACTATTTATAAGTTAAAACAGTTCTAAACAAATATGTTGTTAGATTATGATGTGACAGGACAACAGGGGGTGGACTTTTTCACTGGAGGAAACATTATTATGGATTATGCACTCATATTTTAGCCGGAAGCAACATTTTGAAGTTAAAAACATCTAAATTAAGGAATTATTTCTTACAAACATGCAGCTTTTCACTTCACAATATATTAACTGATGGACTGGAGTCATGTGGATTACTTATGGATTATTGTGATGTTTTTATCAGCTATTTGCTAAATTTCTCCAAATCTGTTCTCATGAAGAAACAAACTTATCTACATCTTGAATGGCCTGAGGGCAAGTAAATTTTCAGTTTTTCGTGAACTGTTCCTTTAAGCAGCTCTTGTTTTGTGATTGGCTGGATTTGATGATCACGCTCCTCCCTCCCAAATTCTTTGCATTCCATTTGGCTAATCATTTAATAATCCTTTGTGCTTTAAAATACATTATTATTGCTACAAAGGTTCTTTATAAGCTATTAAACATTATTTTTTCTCTAATAGTTTGGCCGATTATATGGTACTATTTTTACCCTCATCTCAAGTCAAACTGGTAACCTTTGCATCTCAAATCCCTATAATGTATGACACTTCAGTTGTTAACAAAGTCTTCAAGCCTTGACGTAATTGGATTTTTTCATGGGGCTTTAATGTAGTGCTGTTCGCAGAGCTTCATTTGAGTAATTGCACATGACCTCACTGTCCTCTTTCCGGTAATCCGGTATTGAGCCGCAGGATCAGACGTCAGTGGGTAATGTAGACATCCTTGGCTCCGGATTCACCCCTCCATGATGCCACGGCTTAGACTGTAAGCAGCTCGAGTAGAACGGGTTTTAATCACTCATTATCATAGATAATGTAGCAGCATAAAACATTATATTTTATGCTGTGCAGTAAAGACCAGTAATTGAATGGACTAAATTAAATGGAGCTTTATGTACAGTCAGTGTGTGTATATATAGGCTATATATTTAAATAAAGTATCTCAGGTTATTTATTTGGAACCCGAGATACTTTTTCAGGATTCTTTGAAAAAAAAGTTAAAAAGTACAGCATTTATTTAAAAAGAAACAATATACACTACCGTTAAAAAGTTTGTGGTCAGTAAATTTTTCTTCTTTCTTTTTTTGAAAGAAATTAATACTTTTAATTCAATTCAATTCAATTCAATTCAAGTTTATTTGTATAGCGCTGTTCACGATACAAATCGTTGCAAAGCAACTTTACAGCAAATTAAGTTTCTACAATATTTAGTGGTAGCTTATCAGTGGTGACTGTCAGTTAATGTACATATGGCAGAAATGTACGGAAAAATCAATTAAAGACGTAATCAAACAGACGATGAACACTATTAAAAGCAATTATTATATGATGCAATCAAACTTATAGCAAAATGTGGTAGTTCTGTAAGTTGTTTCAGGGTTGGCATCATCTGAGGTCCTCTGAGGGGTTGGCATCATCTCTTCTCAGGTGTTCTGGATCCAGACTGAAGCTTGTGTAAATCCTAGTTACCACGGGATGTCAATCCCGTGGCAAAAACAGAGAAACAAATAGAGACATAATTAGCGTAGCTGCTGTTCCAACCATGCAAAATGTATTTGTTTAACCCAAATAAAGAGTAATAATGTGCATTTGATCAGATATAACTGCAGTACAAGATTATGAGATGCATTATTTGAATGCTTGGCCAAAGAGATGTGTCTTTAATCTAGATTAAAACAGAGAGAGTGTGTCTGAACCCCAAACGTTATCAGGAAGGCTATTCCAGAGTTTGGGAGCCAAATGCAAAAAAGCTCTACACCGCATGTAACTTTTAAGAAGATTCACTTGTTTAAAACACCCTTAATTGTATTAACATTTACTATATGAAGTTCCTTACGTAAGTTAGGGAGGAGCGAGTCCATCTAATCTTTCAATCAACAGCCAGAGTATATAAGCAGCTGCTTACCTCTCTCCAGTCTCAGCTGTTCCAGCAGCTTCCGGTTGTGTCGTACAGAATTATGTCAGGCTCACCGGACCTCCAGCTTTTTGCTTTAGATGACAAACTTTTCTCCTGTCCCGAGACACCAACAGTTGCAACTCGCAAATCACTGGATCGCACGGATCCAAACAAAGAGACTCCCTCTGGGCGCTCCTGTCGAACGATCCAGCGCTCATACAAACCATGCTCCAGAAGACTACTCTCCCCCCCACCTTCAAAATCACCAGCGGTAACTGGGCCTCGTTCATCTCTTCATTCCACTGCCACCATTCCTCCGATTCCACCAGGGCTGGATTGGTAATCGGGCATACCGGGCATTTTCCCGGTGGGCCGGCGCACTTAAGGGGCCGACAGAAGTTTTTATTTATTTATTTATTTTTTGCCAAGGACCATCACGCAGGGACAGCAAGCAGCCAGTGGCCCATTGGATTGTCTCCTGTATAGTCAGCGTAAACCATCCAATCACAATGCGCTATAGACGGAGCGATGAAGTATTTTGCTTTTGTAACATTATACACTATACAATTCAAAAGCTTGTAGTCTGTAGAATATATTTTTTTTGGGGGGGAAAGAAATTAATACTTTTATTTAGCAAGGATGCTTTAAATTGATCAAAAGTGATGATAAAGACATTCATAAAGTGATGATAAAGACATTCATAATGCTACAAAAGATTTCCATTTCAGATAAATGCTGTTCTATTCATCATCTGAAAAATTCTACTCAGCTGTTTTCAACATAATAAAAATAAAAAATAAAATTTTTAGCAGCAAATCTGAATATTTTAATGCTTTCTGAAGGATCATGTGATTTGAGTATTGATGCTAAAAATTCAGCTTTGAAATCACAGGAATAAATTACATTTTAAAATATATTCAAATAGAAAACAGTTA